CCATTATTAAGTTTCATTGTTGAAGAATTATATTAAATCATATTCGATGTTTATTTTCAATTTAAAAATCCTTTGTTGAACATTTGCAAGAATATATTTGAAAATAAAATTTTCGACATGGATAATTTTCACAGATGGACGATTCTTCGAATGAGAGTATTCCTTATTTTGAACTTTCGAAGAACAAATCTTAAATTATAAAGATGTAGATAGATTTAAAGAAAAATTTTCGAGAATTGTTTTTTCATAAGCAAGAGTGAATGATTCTTGATCTAGCAAGCAGTAATTTTTATTTTTACTTTTCAATGTCGTGTTCATTAATGAAAAATAATTTAAAAGCAACATTTGAGAGTTTTATTCTTAAATATATCATCATTATTTATATCAATAGTTTTCACAGTCATTGGAATAAAGTAAAGTTTAATACTTCATAAATTTGAGAATACTTTTTCATTTTTTTGCAAAATACAATAAATTTATCGTAATATCTATTTTTTCCCCAGATACTAATAAATCTTTAATACTTTTTTAATCGAATATTTGTTTATAGTGCTCTCTCGGCGACTTTTTAAAATTTATTTTCCCAAAAACGAAACCACGAACAAAACGCTTTATTGCGTGTTTTTCAATTTGTTTTCACACGAGAAATTCTCCCTTGTTTGGTCGGACATGTTATGTTATAAAATGATATATCGTGTAATGTATATGTGTAATTTTGATAAATAAAGTTTAAACTATTACATGAGATAACGGTGAAACAAAAATTGAAACGATATTTCAAGTCGATATTTCATAAGGCTACAATTTCCTCTTTCTTTTTGCATCTCTGTACGCTGCGTATGACAAAATGAAAGCTATTCTTCAAGTTCTAACGTTTAACATATACAATATTACAAGATTATTATGATCAATCAGTGTGGTTATCAATTTTATCCATTAAATTATAGAAATTTAAGATTCTTTTGAAACGATCATCTCAATTATTTTCCACCAATTACTCTTCATAAATGATAAATTTGACTTTACTTTCTTCTTAAACCAAATTTTCAACATTCGCATCTACACATCATACATAAATTTATTCAATTATCTCACTTCGCCTCAGAAACGTATTCAGAACGATTCCAAACTCGTATCAAAATTTCGCGTAATAAAAAAAATATCAATTCAACTACTCGTAACAAACTCGGAATAATTCGTTTTCCACGCGCGGAAGGATCGATCCCGATATTTCAACTTGAGTTTCGATTACATTCCCGTAATCGCCGGCCAGAAATTTGCAAAGAGTGCGCTTCGAAGGGAAAGTGTAATCGTGCAAACACGGTCGAGGATTGCGCGTGGCCAAGTTGATGGCCGCTTCAAGCGAGAAACGTTCGAAAATCCCCGAGAAACTTGAGAGAGGGAATTGCGAGCGTACAGGTCAACCGCTCTGAATTTTCCGGATCGCCGGTACGTTTTCATTCCTGCGGAACTCTGGGCGCTCTGAAAAGCGAAATATATATATATTCCAAGCGTCGTCAAAGTTTCCTGGACAATAAAGAAATCGAAATAGCGGAGAGTTGGAAAGAAAAGACACCGAACGAAACGTGTACGTGTTCGCGCGCGCGAAGGAACTGAATTGTTTGGAATCTTTGACCCGTGTATAATTCGTAGGTAAAGCATCGAAAGGGAGTAATCGGCACCGGGCTTTGCGACAACACGAACAAAAAGAATAATTATAAATATATGGCCGCGCTCTTTTCTCCAACTACTGGATATTCTTTCGATGCCCGTTTCACTTCGCGTGTCAATAAGCTTCCGCTTCGAGATATGAAAGATCCATCGACAGACAGATTGATAACAGTGAAGCTCTGGAAAGTATTTTGCATAATAAATCTCGAGATGATAATGAAACTATATGTTCAAAGTTTCACTTTGTAATCATAGCTCGAGTGAAGCCAGTTTAAATATTTTAAACATTTAGATAGTAAGATTTTTCTATGGTATCACGTAAACCAGAAAAGAAAAATAGTAACTATTTTTTTTTAAATTCTACTCAAAATACCAACCATTCACACCAGCCCCGATTTTTGCATGTATAAAAAAAAAACGTGAAATCCATTTCCTCTGAAACTGGCAACTAAAACCCATCGTGCATTACAAAACGAAATAACTTTCCTGCTACCTTTACGATTTCCAACGCATCTGAACCAGCAAAAATAGCACGAAGCAAAATCGATACTTAAAAAAGAAGAATTTTGAAGAACGATGGATTATAGATAGATGCACAAAACTTTGGAGAATAATTTCGTTGCGCGTGTTATTGCATCTTGGAGATGAGAAACACTTAACTACCAACTAAAATGACGCATCGACCGTTAATATATCCCGCAATCTTAAAGCGAAACCCATCGTTATCTCGTCCTCTCTTAATACCCTCCAGAATTATGGATGCGTTCCACCTTTTAGAACGCGCGAAACACGAAAGCTCGCATCCCATCCCACCCCTCTATAAACGCAATCCACCCTCCATCCACCCCCCTCCCTCGGAATATACGAGCAGACCCGTCTCTCCGCGTCGAAGTTGGCAACAGCATCTGGAGCGTTAAGGCGAATGAGCGATGTGCCGGTGTCTTGCGGTATGATGGATCGCCCAATACCAGCCAATATGCAGTATTGCGCGCGGAGTGTGGCAAACTGGTATCCATGCATCAAATCGGCGCTAGACGGAAAGCGGGCGGTCTGGTCGCGTTTACAGGATGCAGTGTAACAACGCGCCGTGTTGTGTTCCACCAGCTTCTCGTGGTCAGGTTCTTGTCACCCATCCCCGTGGCCATCGTCGAGGGCGTGCTATACGGCGGCCATACGGCGCTTGCTACACCGGATAAGCATCCACAATTTTCCGTTCGCCATTCGTAACCGGTGAATCGATGTTACGTACACCCGAACTGGTCGAGAAATTGTAGATGTCGCCTGTATCCACGAGGATGGTGTGTCTTGCAGGGTAATTACCGCGGTTGCGTGGCGTAATAGCTTGGTACGTTGGACGAAAGATTTTGGGTTTGTTTTTCTTTCCTTTTCTTTTTCTTTTTTTTTTTGAGTAAATTAAGAGTGTTAAGAAATCGAATGGCGGTTATATTTTTCATGGTTTTGTAGTTCCAAGAGGAATTTTATTATTATTGGAAAAATGGTAATGTTAGTTGAAAAATTTTTAAACATTTCTTGTGTAATGACTTTTGGATATAAAAGTTCTTCGTTGGCACGAGTCGTTTTCGATATTTAACTCGTACGAAGGTGAATAAAGTTGGAAAGTGGCTTGTGTTCTGGTCGTTAGAACCAAGAATTATATACGGAAAATATTAATAGTGAAAGCTTCCTCAAATAATAACATATCGAATTAAATTATTTTCTAAAATTTGATTGAATGATCTACGTCAAACATTAAAAATTATACAAAATTTTTCCTTAATTATTCTTTTTTTCATTATAAATTAAATACGATCATTATAGACGATTTTTATCATTAAAAATTTCGTGAACTGTTATCCATAAATATCTAAACGGAATACCTTGCAACGATCCAATACACGTTTCCTCATCAACACTCTACAAATTTTCATAAATTTCACATTAATTGTACAGGCACATCTACAAAACTTTCAAGCTTTGTGACTCGTCACATATCAATATTGCTGTTACAGCTATAGTGATTGAAATCACTAAATTAAGCAAAGATCTCTCAAATATTAAAACAGCCATCGTTGTAACATCGTTGTTCTCGACTGAATTTTTTAAAAAGTGTAAACAATCTTAATAATCGAATCTGGCTGACGAACAATAAAAATTCTCAACATGCAATTATTCCATTCGCGATAAGCCAATGGAACGACTTACAACGGCTTATTTTGTAGTTCGTAGGTTTATTCATGAAGCGGGAACCAGTGTCTATTAATTGTGGAAATGGCGCGTAGCGAATTCATTTTAATAATACCATCGTTGATTGCCATGCTGCTCGCGAACCACTTGCAGAGATTTTAATCGATCTCGAGCTTTCGATCTCGCACTTACTTTCCCTTGTTTTTTTTTTTTTTCCTTTTTAATAACTTTATTTCACCGGCAATTTTTATTTTGAAAATAAGATATAAAAGTAATTTATTGCGGCGATAAGAATTGCGAAAGATAAGGAATATATAATCTCTCTTCACAAAACACGAACACTCGAGTTGATTTAAAATGATATCCGCGTATTCGAGTTCAAGTACCTTCAAGTACTTTGAAAGATACGCTATACTTATATGTCCATCGCAGTTAATAAGAGAGAAATAATTAAATAATTCTCATAGAAGTATATACTCGCATTATTATCAAAAAAGATCTTCTATCAAAGATACCAACCAAAAACTTCCACGTTCATTTTTCCATACATGCACTGATTATAAATACAATCCAAAAGATTACGCGCATTATTATCAAAAAAGATCTTCTATCAAAGATACCAACCAAAAACTTCCACGTTCATTTTTCCATACATGCACTGATTATAAATACAATCCAAAAGATTACGCGCATTATTATCAAAAAAGATCTTCTATCAAAGATACCAACCAAAAACTTCCACGTTCATTTTTACATAAATGTACTGATTATAAATACAATCCAAACGATTCAAAATCTTTAACCAACAACGTGAAAGCCAAAGAACCGAGTTGCGTCTCCCGAGCACAAGGAAATAAATAATTCTCATAGAATTATATTCTCGCATTATTATCAAAAAAGATCTTCTATCAAAGATACCAACCAAAAACTTCCACGTTCATT